CGGTTTGTGGGGGTATATTGACGTTAGTCTAAGGTTTACCTGGGTAGTGATAGCAATAACGGTTTGTGGGGGTATATTGACGTTAGTCTAAGGTTTACCTGGGTAGTGATAGCAATAACGGTTTGTGGGGGTATATTGACGTTAGTCTAAGGTTTACCTGGGTAGTGATAGCAATAACGGTTTGTGGGGGTATATTGACGTTAGTCTAAGGTTTACCTGGGTAGTGATAGCAATAACGGTTTGTGGGGGTATATTGACGTTAGTCTAAGGTTTACCTGGGTAGTGATAGCAATAACGGTTTGTGGGGGTATATTGACGTTAGTCTAAGGTTTACCTGGGTAGTGATAGCAATAACGGTTTGTGGGGGTATATTGACGTTAGTCTAAGGTTTACCTGGGTAGTGATAGCAATAACGGTTTGTGGGGGTATATTGACGTTAGTCTAAGGTTTACCTGGGTAGTGATAGCAATAACGGTTTGTGGGGGTATATTGACGTTAGTCTAAGGTTTACCTGGGTAGTGATAGCAATAACGGTTTGTGGGGGTATATTGACGTTAGTCTAAGGTTTACCTGGGTAGTGATAGCAATAACGGTTTGTGGGGGTATATTGACGTTAGTCTAAGGTTTACCTGGGTAGTGATAGCAATAACGGTTTGTGGGGGTATATTGACGTTAGTCTAAGGTTTACCTGGGTAGTGATAGCAATAACGGTTTGTGGGGGTATATTGACGTTAGTCTAAGGTTTACCTGGGTAGTGATAGCAATAACGGTTTGTGGGGGTATATTGACGTTAGTCTAAGGTTTACCTGGGTAGTGATAGCAATAACGGTTTGTGGGGGTATATTGACGTTAGTCTAAGGTTTACCTGGGTAGTGATAGCAATAACGGTTTGTGGGGGTATATTGACGTTAGTCTAAGGTTTACCTGGGTAGTGATAGCAATAACGGTTTGTGGGGGTATATTGACGTTAGTCTAAGGTTTACCTGGGTAGTGATAGCAATAACGGTTTGTGGGGGTATATTGACGTTAGTCTAAGGTTTACCTGGGTAGTGATAGCAATAACGGTTTGTGGGGGTATATTGACGTTAGTCTAAGGTTTACCTGGGTAGTGATAGCAATAACGGTTTGTGGGGGTATATTGACGTTAGTCTAAGGTTTACCTGGGTAGTGATAGCAATAACGGTTTGTGGGGGTATATTGACGTTAGTCTAAGGTTTACCTGGGTAGTGATAACAATAACGGTTTGTGGGGGTATATTGATGTTAGCCTAAGGTTTACCTGGGTAAGAATAGCAATAACGGTTTGTGGGGGTATATTGACGTTAGCCTAAGATTTACCTGTAGTGATAGCAATAACGGTTTGTGGGGGTATATTGACTTTTGTCCTAGGTTTACCTGGATAGTGATAACAAAAACGGTTTGTGGGGGGATATTGACGTTAGTCTAAGGTTTACCTTGGTTTACCTGGGTACTGATAGCAATAACGGTTTGTGAGGGTATATTGATGTTAGCCTCAGGTTTACCTGGGTAGTAATAACAATAACGGTTTGTGGGGGTATATTGACGTTAGCCTAAGGTTTACCTGGGTAGTGATAGCAATAACAGTTTGTGGGGGTATATTGACGTTTGTCTAAGGTTTACCTGGGTAGTGATAGCAATAACGGTTTGTGAGGTATATTGACGTTCGCCTAAGGTGTACCTGGGTAGTGATAGCACTAACGATTTGTGGGGGTATATTGACGTTAGTCTAAGGTTTACCTGGGTAGTGATAGTAATAACAGTTTGTGGGGGTATATTGACGTTTTCCTAAGGTTTACCTGGGTAGTGATAGTAATAACGGTTTGTGGGGGTATATTGACGTTTTCCTAAGGTTTACCTGGGTAGTGATAGCAATAACGGTTTGTGGGGGGATATTGACGTTTTCCTAAGGTTTACCTGGGTAGTGATAGCAATAACGGTTTGTGAGGTATATTGACGTTCGCCTAAGTTTACCTGGGTAGTGATAGCAATAACGGTTTGTGAGGTATATTGACGTTCGCCTAAGGTGTACCTGGGTAGTGATAGCACTAACGATTTGTGGGGGGATATTGACGTTAGTCTAAGGTTTACCTGGGTAGTGATAGCAATAACGGTTTGTGGGGGTATATTGACGTTTTCCTAAGGTTTACCTGGGTAGTGATAGTAATAACGGTTTGTGGGGTTATATTGACGTCAGCCTTAGGTTCACCTGGGTAGTGATAGCAATAATGGTTTGTGGGGGTATATTGACGTTAGCCTAAGGTTTACCTGGGGAGTGATAGCAATAACGGTTTGTGGGGGTTTATTGACGTTAGTCTAGGGTTTACCTGGGTAGTGATAGTAATAACGGTTTGTGGGGGTATATTGACTTTTGTCCTAGGTTTACCTGGATAGTGATAACAAAAACGGTTTGTGGGGGTATATTGACGTTAGTCTAAGGTTTACCTGGGGAGTGATAACAATAACGGTTTGTGGGGGTATATTGACGTAAGTCTAAGATTTACCTGGGTAGTGAAAGTAATAACGGTTTGTGAGGATATATTGATGTTAGCCTAAGGTTTACCTGGGTAAGGACAGCAATAACGGTTTGTGGGGGTATATTGACTTTTGTCCTAGGTTTACCTGGGTAGTGATAACAATAACGGTTTGTGGGGGTATATTGACGTTAGTCTAAGGTTTACCTTGGTTTACCTGGGTACTGATAGTAATTACGGTTTGTGAGGGTATATTGATGTTAGCCTAAGGTTTACCTGGGTAGTGATAACAATAACGGTTTGTAGGGGTATATTGACGTTAGCCTAAGATTTACCTGTAGTGATAGCAATAACGGTTTGGGGGGGGGGGGTAAATTGACGTTAGCTTTAGGTTTACCTGGGTAGTGATAGTAATAACGGTGTGTGGGGGTATATTGACGTAAGTCTAAGGTATACCTGGGTAGTGATAGCAATAACGGTTTGTGAGGGTATATTGACGTTAGTCTAAGGTTTACTTGGTCGTGATAGCAATAACAGTTTGTGGGGGTATATTGACGTTAGCCTTAGGTGTACCTGGGTAGTGATAACAATAACGGTTTGTGGGGGTTTATTGACGTTAGTCTATGGTTTACCTGGGTAGTGATAGTAATAATGGTTTGTGTGGGTATATTGATGTTAGTCTAAGGTTTACCTGGGTAGTGATAGAAATAACGGTTTGGCAGGGGGGGTATTGATGTTAGCTTTAGGTTTACCTGGGTAGTGATGGTGATGCATTATCACCATCACTTAAATAACGTGTAGGTGATCATGTATGTTGGCATTTGACCTTTACTGCAATTGATCGATCGATATGCTAGGATTTTAACCTACTGGTTGAGATGCCATTTTAAACATAACAGTTTCTGTTTGACAAAATCAAAACGAATCATTCTAAATCGTTATCTCATATTGATGACAGGATATGATTGATGAGATCATATTAACACCCAAGCTCAAAGAACTACTAGTCACTGTTCCTTATCCAAAGGATATATTAAACCACTGTAAATCTCACCTCAATAGTAGACAACTTTGTATAACTCTCTATTTATTAATCTGGTCGTGACCTGTTGTATATAAACCTGGGAACATCAATGTTAGATATAGATTCGCAATGGACCTATAAATTATCAGGGATTGAAAAAAAAATACTTTTGGGTTTCAGGCGACTTATCTTAACATTGATTTTATGGATGTATTTTACCTCGCAAACAACGATAACGATAAAAACGGTAATATAAGGCAACAGCATTAAAAAATGTTTACAGAAATCTATAGAAAAGTTACATCCAGCAGAATTGATGGTATATCTATGAGCACTACTATGTCATTTACTGTATTTAAGCACAAGAAGATTTGCAAAGGGCTAAATTAGGATCAATATATAAAAGGGAGACAACTGCATGTTTGACTACATAGTTTGTACGGTATGGAGTGATAGAAAGATATTGATACACAAATAGACCGAACCTTTTCAAAAAGAACATTTTCGAGAAGTAAAAAAACAAAACGGTCTGTAGTAATTACAAACCCAAATTTCACTTTTGATGAATAAATACGTCCCAATGTTAAGAAAACAAACAATATGGTCGTAGTAATCAGACAACTTCTTATCAATTTCTCAACAAACAAACCTTTACTTAAAAAAATATATATTCTCACAGCTATCTCATAGTCATCACACAGCCATCTCATAGCCATCTCACATCCTTGCCATAGCCATTTCACAGCCATCTCATAGTCATCTCACAGCCATCTCATAACCATCTCACAGCCATATCATAGTCATCACACAGCCATATCATAGTCATCTCACATCCTTCCCATAGCCATTTCACAGCCATCTCATAGTCATTACACAGCCATTTCACATCCATCTCACAGCCATAGCATATCCATCTCACAGTCATCTCACAGCCATCGCATAGCGTTGTCACAGCCATCTCACAACGATTTCACATTCATTTCATAGCCATCTAATAGCCATCTCACAGCGATCGCACGGTCATCTCACTGCCATCTCACAGCCATATCACATCAAACGCCCAAACAATCTCATAGCCATCTTACAGCCATTTCACAGACATATCGTAGCCATATAACAGCCATCTCACAGCCATCTCACAGCCATCTCACAGCCATGTCATAGCCGTCTCCCAGCCATCTCACAAACCATCCACTAACGTTGTGGACGAAGGCGGCTGGTTTATCAAACCACAACAATGTAAGAAAATTAGAGGAAATAGTAGAAATGACAGAGAAACAATAAGGAATAGGTAATAAGGATGGAAATATACCGGGAAACATTACGATGTTAGTGTATAGTTATTTATATAGACAATGCAAACGTAACTATCTATACGTCATAGTTTACATATGCCTTTTTAAACTTAGCCTGGTAAATCCAGATTAGCACATCGGCCATTGTGTCTATAAATAAGAGCACTTCCAAGTAACGAAAATGTATTGAGTCACTTGACTTAAATACAACCACTCTGAGGTGTGTATTGCTTGTAACCACAAGGTGAAAGTCCATTTAGCTATTTGAATCAACATGAGGATGAAAAGGAAAAGTTGTAATTTCAAAATAATCATCAGTATGGATTATTGTGTCGTTGTGAACACTATGCTGAAGTCAGTGAATTACAACAGTAACAACATGTTTTCTTTGACAATTGGCTAAAGTATTCAATTTGTTAAACATATTATCAGCAAGTGTTTATAGAAAGCACTGAAAGGGATACATGTCATATCGGATACCTTCAGGGAGAATCTCAACCGTGCCTCACGCCAGCCTCATAGGAGAATCTCAGCCGTGCCTCACGCCAGCCTCATAGGAGAATCTCAGCCGTGCCTCACCTGCCAGCCTCATAGGAGAATCTCAGCCGTGCCTCACGCCAGCCTCATAGGAGAATCTCAGCCGTGCCTCACGCGAGCATCATAGGAGAATCTCAGCCGAGCCTCACGCCAGCCTCATAGGAGAATCTCAACCGTGCCTCACGCCAGCCTCATAGGAGACTCTCAGCCGTGCCTCACGCTAGCATCATAGGAGACTCTCAGTCGTGCCTCACGCCAACCTCACAGGCGAATTTCAGTCGTGTTTCGAGTAAGCCGCGCTGAAAAAATTGCACAAATATATAGTCCCGTTGTCCATGTACATTCCCATCATGGAACATGAGCCTGTGCCATGTACATGTAGAGGTCTCTCAGTCTTCTGCAAAGATGGACAGATATTTTGGTCCTCTTTGTCTATATCAACGACCATACTTGTTGTGCTGAGCCTTTTCACCTTTCCCCAAGTGTGAGTAATTTATAATTTATAAAAAAATATGTAACCATACAAATACATGTATTACCTCATATTTGTATTAGACTTGCTGATGTCTCTCTTGGAGATTCTATGGGTTTTTATAAATAATCAGTCTTTCTAAAGCAAATACATAATTTATTTCTTCTTCAGTGTACATTTATACATTGTTTCTGTTTATAGATTTTATGCGCCAGTAAATGTATCATCTATTGGATTTACATTCAACGTTTGTTCTTATGTCTGCACATACAATGTTTATTCCTATGTATGTATACGAATTAAAAATATATGTCGATACATTGTTTTAACATTTTAATGTAAGTACATACAAGGCATTTTCATAGCAATTTTTGTTCTCATATCTTCTGTATTTGATTTCCTAGGTACCAGGGAAAGAAATTTACGGAGCAGGAGATCGTCTACACGACTGCTGTTTTCGCCGTGTGTCTGGTGACAATAGCAGCAGCCATCACCTGTCGAATGTACGGTCATAAAATGGTAAGGCAATTGTACAGTGTTATATTTAAAAAGTATATTTTATTAACAGATAACTAACAAGAGAATACAGATGTGTCAACAAAACAGTATAATTAGAGCACAGCATGAGTAAAGGACAGATTTATATGGAACCCCTTGAAAAACAAGGAGATTAAGACCAGATGTTCCGAAAGGGTAAGCGTCTTATGCTCCACCGATGACCACGCATTGTATGTGAACCAAATCTCTTAATCTCTAAGTAATGTCAGTCACCAAAGGGAAAACATGGGAATTGACAACGAAAACAACATGGCACGCGTATATGCATAATCAAAACAACAAACGTTTATAAATCACACAAGAAGATATATCCAAATGAAATCATGATGGCAACCGTTACACTTGCATTTCTCGAAACATTGTGTTGTATATTTTACCGTTAGAAATCGACATCTATTAAAGAAATAATGATATTCGCATATCTAGAATATAAACAGCGACATGACAACGTCAATGTAGGGGAGCATGTTCTTATTATCAGGAAAGGGAAAGTTGAAGATAGGAAAAATCGAAATCGTCCCGCTTACCGTACAGCTTAGTAGTAAGCCGTCCCTGTTAGTAAGTTGATAGTAAATATCGAGGAAAAACTGCTGATGTAGAAGAGTCAGTTGTGGTGTTAATTTCACGTTCAGGATGGTATATACGATCGCCATAGCCAAACTTTCTTTTTTATTTTAAGACAGCAAGTGTCGGTATATGTGAAAGTATATAGTGGATATTATATATGACATTATATAAGTAACATATGTCGAAATTTATGTGTCAGATACTTTACTATGTAATTAGTGACCAACGTGAAGGTTAATGCACCACAAATATGGGAATGGGTTGTGATAAACCGATAAAACGGATAAAAAAACCAATATGATTTATGTTTGTTGGAGTACAACTGTCATTGTTTACCTACAAACTGTTTTTATTCATTCTAGGATAAGACAACCACAAAGGGCGGCAACAACAAAAACAACATCAGAAGGATGATGCATAAGTTAAATGGTAAGTGCGAAAAAACACTGCTGCACCGGCCACGACTGGAACGAATGTTCCTTGTTCATTGTAGCCAGGGTCTGGTGGTTTCACACCTGAGTCGTCAATATATATTTTTAAATCCGAACTTTTAATTAATACATGAAAAAACGTTATATAAAACAATCGCTTAAACATTTATCCAGTCAATCTAGTTGTAACAGCATACATATCGTATAACATTACGTAACGAAAATTAAACGTATTTCCTCAAAACGTAAAAAGTAGTCGAAAAATTTTGCTTATCAATGTGACTATAACTTTGCAACAAAAAACATCAAACTGGAATAAAAGTTGGCACGCGTGGAAGAGGGACGAGTTATTCCCCATTGTTGATAAATTGAAGCATAGCATACGTAAACGAAAACTGTATCAAGTAAGGGGTTTATTAAGCTTTGTCATTTGCAGTAATCTTTGGCTACTTTCTTTGGAAATCAAATGGCTTTATTTTATAAATATACGAATTTATTTTATTATGTGTGTCCGCAGGAACCCGCTCAATGATAGTTGATAATTTATTTTTTAGTACATGTGTATGCTTATAGGTAACTTTTATTCGTAGTTGGTAGTTGATATTACAGTGTTTTATATACGTCATTATAGAGCTCTGTGCTGGTATCTTCCAAACCGTCCTGGGAAAACAGAAGAAGAGGACAGTGCTTGCTGAAGTGACCGTCTATCAACGATCGTCTAAAATGGCGCCAGAAATCGCAAGTAAGTCATCTTACTAATAGCCTTAAAAATACTACGTGTATTTCCCGTCAACATGTCTCGTGATGGGGAGGATGAGGAGGGGAAACTTTGCAGCCTCTCATTGTAACACGGCGGATATCGTAATTGATCTACGCCAAACTTGGGCTTTCTATCTCTGTTTTGTATGTCTCCTTGTCTCTCCTGAAACTAACATGCCCATTGTACATGGTATATCTGTCTAGGCTGTACCTTACATGGCGATGATATTTATAACATTGATGTATTTATACCGCAGTAACAATTCTAAAAAAAACCAAATTGTGACGAGTTAGTATTTCTGGTTCTATTATTAGAACGCGAAATACAATTAATATCACGTAATATCTGGGACGTTTTTATATATTTGGCTGATACAAATGTATTTGAGGATCGTTTTGGTACACAAACGTTACATAAGTTGGTTTTGCTTTCCTTTTAACTTTCATTACTACTTGATACAAAAGAGTCAGTTATTATATCTTTTGAAAAATATATGCATGTTTATCCCAAAAAGTGTGAACACCCTGTTCTCTTATGCTAATTAACGGGGTTTTTCTATCACATCATAAAACGATTAAATCCGTTTTTCTGGTATAATGACTGGGCTGAGTTGCAAATTATGACGATCCATTATTTTGTGAAACGCTTTCTAAATAATCTAAAATTATGTTATTGTGGTTGTATTTTAGGTCCTGTTGTAAGTACATTATACATTCCGATGTCACCGTCAACGTTCGTCTGACTACATGAAGAGATTCCAATACTTGGTCGTCCGGTCAACCAACAATTTCTTATCCTTTGCAAAGCTTTGCATACTAGTTGCTGTCATGTTTTAAAGGCGTATATGAAGTCTGAGATGGATGGAGACACTAATTTAAACACACATAAGTCAGATATCATACGCCGTATGGGATTGTATGGCTGTGTCCGTATCACATGTATACGTTGATGTTACGTGAATATGATACACAACTGTGAATATCATATAGTTCGCTGGGTAAAGATGATATACATATTTTGTTGTTGGGTAAATACGATACTTTAATATAGATAATTTGATTGTTGGGTGAATATAATATAGATACATGTATTTGGTCGTTGGGGAGGTTTTTGGCAGTTGGGTGAATATAATATAGATACATGAATTTGGTCGTTGGGGAGTTTTTTGGCAGTTGGGTGAATATAATATAGATACATGTATTTGGTGGTTGGGGAGTTTTTTGGCAGTTGGGTGAATATAATCTAGATACATGTATTTGGTCGTTGGGGAGTTTTTTGGCAGTTGGGTGAATATAATATAGATACATGAATTTGGTCGTTGGGGAGTTTTTTGGCAGTTGGGTGAATATAATCAAGTTATTTGGTTGCTACGGGAATGTCTAGGATACATTGGAATCAATACAAGGTTGTTGGATAAATTTCGGTTGTTAGATAATATGTCTATTGTATAGAGGTAGTTCTATATAAGAGTCATATCATCCAATAATTATTGTACTTCAGTAAATAATTTTCAAAAATAATGCATTGGTTAATAGATGTCACGTGATGACCCACCAACTTCTTAAGAGGGTCAATATCACTTTAGAGGAAAAACATGGCGACGTCTATGTCCAGAAAATAAAAGTTTCACAAACAGTAATTTCCAAGTACAGTCTCGATGTTTCTCAGTCAATACAACATGGTAAGGTAATGCGAGTTGTCTTCCCTAGTTTATGTAAAATAAATGGAAAAGTCTTAATGTTACAACGTCAGTGACTGTCAACATGGAGCGGTTTGGCACACAGCAGAACTGAATACAAAAAATGCAAAATAGCCTATCAACAAAGAGTTAATAAAAAAACACGCTGTCATGTCTTTGTAGGATAAAAAAGCGGGAAAAGGTGGAATGCCCATTTCGAAGAGCATGTTTGTATAACGGTTATATGGAGGTCACCACTGACAGCTCTAAACTGTTTTCATTCCAGACAAAAAAGTTAAAAGATGCGATAAATTTGTATTCTAGCCGAGATTACAGAATTAGAATACGTAATGTATACATGATGAATCTTACTGACGTAGTGTAGCCAGTTATCATGCCATACAACACCAAGTCCGGTATTTACACAATATGACAATACAAGATGTTGTAGCCAGTACATTCGGCTAACCTCGGCCGATTCTACGTTGGAAGGAACTGGAATCGGGGCGAGGTGTTCCGAATGTCTAACTAGATGTAGATCTGCCGAGGTGTGCCGAATGGTAGCCAGTAGTCAAGACTCCTTTTTGGCTGGAACTTTATCGATTGCTATCTACTCATCATATCAACGAATTGCAAAAAGAAATAATACATTATCCCAGTAACAAAAAACTCCGTTTTGACCGAAAATCAACGGCTCTTATCCACTAATAGATTGAAATGAGAATATGTTTTAGCGCTATTTTACTCTATGATAATGTGATTTTATTATTCTGTCCTTAAATTCGTTTTGTCCACAATTGTTATTAGGTTCACATTTTCAGAAATTGAACATGTATACGGTATAACAACGAGTATGTCGTGCTGAACATATTAACTGCATATGAAGAATAACTATAAGTATGAAATGAATGCAATACAACAAGTACCCATCTGACGTCAGAGATTGCAGTCGTTTATTGCACGATAGGATCTTTGTCCCTCGTGCTGTCTAAGACATCATATGAACACGTGTGTTTAGCAGTATTTCATATAAATTACTGTGAACTACGTATTTTTGCGGTAGTCTTATACTTATATTCTCCAACAAATCAATTTACATTGTATTTAAACTGTGCGCTGTATATAGGCATATTACAATTATATGCAGAACTTATTCACCTATCAAGACTTTAAAGATGACATAATAGATACTGTAACGGTACCTATTTAACAGTAGTCTTAATTTAGCGCTTTTCGCGCTTTTTATGTTGTGCTAAGTCATCAATGCGAAATGAACACAGGGCTCATATTAAGGAAAATTCCGTGTCGCCAATTGGTTCTGGTATGAAAATATTGTGTCGCCAAACTGAGTTTTTATGTCGCCAATTGTTGACGCTCACACGACCTTCAGTGTATATTTCAGACAAAGGATTTATCAAGAACTAATCCACTATATATATTCATTCTAGTTTCTTCTTTTGTTTCATATGTATTATTAGCAGAATGCTAGTTCAAGAGAAAAACAGAAAAGACAACAGTGTATTCAAACTTCTATTATTCTCTCTCATCATCTGTAATACTTTATTTTCATATTTTTTTTTTATCAATTCAACAATGCTTTTTAAGGTTTTCAGACTAAACAATACTACATTTAATCTTCAATTCACTTTTATATCCCTTCATTATATATGGGGCAAAGAAGAAATTCCAACAGCGTGGGGTTCGTATCCTACGGACATACCTCCATTAGGATCCAGTGTTATATGGGATTTTACCGTCTATATTACTTCTTTGACCCATACCTTCATTATATAGGTATACATATTCAAGAAATAAATACTATTGACAATACTGTCTTATTATTTTGCTGAGCTACAAAGTCACTTATGTCCAACAGTTTAACCCAAAACCTTGATGCACATGTCACAATACTGTTATCATCATCTCATTGGGATTTATATACCTTTACCACGCCTGTCAATTTCCCGATTTGGGTTAAAAACCTATCATCTTTTTGGGGGAATGGTTTGAGGTCAACCACTGGGCGTTTGGGAACTTTTAATGTATCTAAAATATGTACTACTAATTAACATCTAGTTGATGGCAAGAAAACAACAAAGGATGAGTGTCTATAAGGCCCTTTTTTGGCCCCGGAATATTCGGATTTTCACCTCCTTAATTTGTTCAAAGATGTCCTATTGTATTACATGTGCAAGAACTAAGGTAAAAATTTGACCGAAAGTGGGTTTTGGGGGTACCAAAAGGGGTAGGGTAAATCACAAATATAATTTGCTGTTTTTAAAATGAGCTTTAAATCCAAAATCGTACCATTTCTGTTTTTAAAAACATGTGTAGATTAAACAAGCATATTTGAAAGAATGAAAAATGACAGAAATGAAATCGTCAATTAAAGATTGTTTATATAAAAAGGAGGATTAAGTCAGGGGGTTGTTTTAGGTGATTTTTCAAATGAAAAATGTTTTGTTTTCTCAATAATTTTCTTTCTAATTTATATTTTGGGTTGAAATTTACAACTTTGCTCATTGGAGTTCACTTACGTAAAAAGCATATTCACTACACACTTTCCTTTTGTTTTATACTGAGTTATGGCTTCTGGATCAATCTCTAACTATGCAATTTCAAATATCTCTCAGTCTTAAGTGAATTAAAAGGTGCAGACCACCCTTTAAACGCTATCAAGGATAACTTACAAATAAAAAATGGCGTTTGCAACCACAACTACTGTAAAATGATTGATTTAATATTAAGTATCCTAGCCTCAAGGAAAGTATCTGTTTTAATCGTTACAGTTAACCCATTTCATTGTTTTATTATTTGTTCTGCCTGTTTCAAAAATTAAGGGCTAATTGAACATAAAAGTTATTTTGGTATACGCATACAACTTGGCATAGATATTAGTTATATGATGATATTTAATTTGTGAAAGTTCCATACTTATCCCACAATGCCTTGAGTGAACTCAAATGAGCAAAGTTGTTAATTTCAACCCAATATATGAATTAGAAAGGAAACTATTAAGAAAACAAAACACTTTTCATTTGAAAAATCACCTAAAACAACCCCCTGACTAAATACTCCGTTTTATATAAACAATCTTTAATTGACGATTTCATTTCTGTAATTTTTCATTCTTTCAAATACGCCTGTTCAATTTACACATGTTTTTAAAAACAGTAATTGTATGATTTTGGATTTAAAGCTCATTTTAAAAACAGCAAATTATATTTGTGATTTACCCTACCCCTTTTGGTACCTCCAAAAACCAACTTTCGGTCAAACTTTTACCTTAGTTTTTGCACATGTAATACAATAAGACAATAAGACAATAAAACAATAAGACATCTTTGAACAAATTTAGGAGGTGAAAATCCGAATATAACGGGGCCCAAAAAAGGACCTGTGAGACACTCATTCTTTCCGTCAAAATAATTAATTAATCGGACAAATTCATACAAAAAGAAAATAATTTCGTTGTTCAGAATCGTATACTTTGACATTTTTACTGTTCAGTCAAAAAAGCACAAGATACGGTTTCCACCATGTGGGTTGGGACCCATTTGTCAATATATCTTTCCAAAAATTAAGTTTTCAAGTAAGTGTCGCATCGTAAGGAGAGAACATAAGACTTTAAAGCCTCTCTTTATGCTATTTCAAATTTCGGAAAAAAAGGGTATTTCGTTCAAGTTAGCCTAATGGTTGCCCCATATTCACAGATTTTCTGCTGGCCTACATGGAGGTTGATATTGTTTGTGTTTGAAAGCTACATTTGTCTCGAATGTAAATTAAAAACAATCACATTAATTTAGAAAATTTGCCATAAACCAATATTGCTATTGGGATTATAATTAGATAATAGTATTTTTCTATTTCTGAAAAGGTAACCTACGTCAATATCTTCAACTTTAAAATTAGTGCTCTTAAGTCATATTCATAGATCCATATGTTGCAACGTAGTTATTCCGATTCAGCGTTTTGGCAGATGTTTATTTGATTTACCCATACACAAAAGGTACATACATTTCGTTTTGTTTTGTTTTTATCCTCAAGAGGATGAAAATGTTTTTTTCCTACAAGGTTGGTTTTGGACAACTTTTTTTGTTATAATGAGGATGTTTATCAAGGTTAAAACTTGACTTGTTCCAATAAGTTCTCTGTTTAGGTCATTTTGGATCAGGACGTTCTGACTAAATGTCGATAGTTCAAATTGAAAACAACGAAATGTTTTAATGTGACAGCTCGTATACCAAACAGATAGGTTAATGTAGAGGAGACGGCTGATTGATAGGTTAATGTAGAGGAGACGGCAGATTCATTACAATGTAGATGTTTTAACATCATGTATTTTTTTTCTAACTATTATAATTATTTTACATCAACATTATCGCCAGACAATTGTTTCAGTACTACAGTATTAAAATCATTTTTCCAAATATTTGTTTGTGATAGTTTTCTTTTGCTGCTTACAAGAGTCATATAAATAAAGAGTATTTGCTTATTTTCATTTGTTTTATATTTTTGCTTTTCCATTTTTTGTCTTTTTTTGTTTTACAACATTCCTTGTGATTTCATTGTAAGTTACCAAACCGTCATAATAATAGTCTCTATCAGGATTCAGAGAGTCTGAGAAACATGGCATTAAAAACGATTTGTTTCGTCGTCAGGAAACTCTACTGCACACAGTCTTTTAAAATGGACCGGTGTTTTTCGAGGTTGCGGTGACGTTCCCTTGTCGTTTTGTTAGTGGTAGAAATTTAATTTCCTGGAAGATTGATTCCAAGAATTGAACACAACAACTAACGTTTCTTATGGAGTAGCATTAGACCAAACAACCAACAAACAGTCAACTTAACAACGTCCGTATCTTGGGTAAAAAGATTTTCATCATAGTCTGTCTTAGCGAAAACCTGTACATTTGGAAGACCTGTAAGAATCGGAACCAGACATGAAATATAACAATCGAGTGTTTATGTAGCAAGTTCATTAAAGACAGAACTATTGGTCTTTATTGGTGTTTGGTTTAACCATAATCTATGATAAAGTCATTTTCCGAGGAAAAATACTGACTCTATTAGGGTTATTTTCCGAGGAAACTGTTATCTTAATGCTGTTCGAATTTTCCTTTCTTTATCTAATAATGTTGTTGTCGTCACGCTATTTTTTCCAGAAAATTATAGTGCCTTCGTCAAGTTTGTAGTATCCCGAAGTCACGGAAATGGAACATCTACCAAAATCGAACAAGGGACCTAGCCAATCGGTTTCCATGCACGTATCATATGATGTGTTCTTATTTCACTTTCGATGAAACGGGATGACATATATTATTGCACCATGACTGTCCAAATGTCATTCTCATATTATTGTCCGCTTCAATCTCAATATATTTTTATGAAAATTCAAATAGGACTGTTTAATGACTTAAAGAGTTCAAGGTCAAATCTTAGTAATACAACGTACCACTGCCGCGTCTGTACCCGGAGGTTTAACTCATTCACTCCTGAAATTCCATAATAAAGTATTCCAATCTTTGAATTGGAAGAGTTTAAATGTGTCTGCAGGGATGAATAAGTAAAGATCATTGCAAGGAATAAACATCGAATCGTAATCGTGTCTTGAAAATATATGGGGTCACCTGCCCGACCACGTGTTTTTTCCCCGGGTGCACCAGGTTCCTTCCCTGTGCGCTATCATATTGGCCAACTAGAGTGATTAATATAAGTTGAAGTAATTTGTTTCATCGTTGTTGTAAAAGAAATAGTTTCTATTTTAAATCTTGTATTAACACACGCGTAATAACTTCACAGACGGGTGTATCATAGATCGACTGTCTGTGAAACACTGCTGTCATATCCGTAAGGCTACAGCATGGTGTCAAATGGCAAACCATTGAATAACTCGCTAGTAACAAAACTACTTAAAACTTAATGAAATGAAGAGGAGAACATGCTTCACAAAACTTTAAAGAACATCAACCATGGGTATTCATGTGCGCTATTGATGTGCATTGTTAGATTTACAAACATAAACTAAGTAAGGTTGGGTAATAAAAATTAAAGATACTCGTCAATATTCGTACATTTAAGTGAATGAACAAAACTAGTGTGTATAATCAGCAGTGAACTGGTGCGAGATATTTCTGTAACTTATACAAGACAAAAACAGGTTGACGATTTTCTCCGACGAGGCGATGCTAATAGACCGCCATTAAAGATTCAGACACAATGTCGTAAAACTTATTTAAAGATCATTCGTGATCCTTAAGTCCCGTCAGTGGGAAAGGACAAAAGCAGAAATAGAAAGCATTCCGGAAACAGCTTCCAAAATATCTAAAGCGGTAGCGCGCTAGTAAAAGCTAAATTTAGCAATAACGGCCATATTTAAACGGTTAACTTTAACATGGATTCATTAATATGTATTAAAACTGTCTTGATTAGACCTCCAGCTGAGAGTTATAAACTGTAGACTTTGTAATGTCCTTCATCATACCTTCTGATGTCGTCGTAAGGTACATTCACAGAATATCACACGGTAATATGATAATGACAATCGAGTATGACTCATACGTTCGAACAAGAAATACCCAGCACAATGTTTTCTTTTACGGGTCATTTCGAGTCAAAAAGCACTAGAAATAGACATTCACAAAAATTATTACATCAAACTCAAACTTTAGAAATCTCACACAACTTTATATTCAATGATGGAACCATTCAGTATAGAGGGAGGATGGGAGGGGGAGGTATCCGTACTAGAGATCCAGAACATAAACCTAGTTCCGGTCTCTACACAGACTATAAATTATTAGCTCTCTTCGTTCGTTGCGTCGTAACTTTATAATGTTTACCATAGTTCAAAAACAGCTAACAGAACCACTCATTATAGGTTGTATAAGCCTTGAGTAATCCAAAAGTTAACCAAACACAATACATTAAATCCTTCTGAGCGAAATCTTCTCGCTCACGCACTCACGAGCTCGTGTATCGCACAGTAGTCTAAAGATACGGAATGATTAACACTGGTTAACCGGAGACGCGTATAGATTAATGTTCTCCAGCCTGTGGTGGATCGCCGAGAGACTACAGATAGAACAGCGCCAATCAGTAGTTGGTTTAGACAAACGTGCTACACTTCAAACCAACAAGCCTTTATTTCTTTTTCATTGTTCG